ATGACTCTGGCTATTATAAATAATTTTATAAAATGTGTCCTGTATGTTACTGTTCCCCTTTGCAAAACCCCAAACTACAACACCGTGTCTCAGAAAACCAAAACCAAAACCAAAAACCAACCTCAAAAAACAAACGGGCTGGGGATTTAGCTCAGTGGCACAGTGCCTGTCTGGTGAGCGCAAGGTCCTGAGTTCGATTCCTGGTATGAGGGGGGGGACCAAAACAAACCCACACCAAAAGTCAGCCCAATCTCTACACACTAACAAAGGATTTAGGAACAAAGAAGACTCTTAAAAATACGCAATGCTTATAGATGCATTTAACCAACCAGACCGCACAGTGCCACGGGAACACGGAGCTCCCCACAGAGGTTCTGTGCCCCCTGTGCAGACCAGCAGGCAGGGCAGTGCAGGGCCGGGTCTCCCTGAGCTCCTACTAGCCCCACTGGCTCTGGTGGACAGGACTTCCAGTGACTTGGGGGACAGGAGAAAGGACCAAGTGGCTACAACAGTCTTTAGGAGGTCTCACTCTACCTAGTGTTAAGGTTTTCTCTTTTTGAGGCAGGGTCTCAGCATGTAGCTTAGGTTGGCCTTAAACCCACTACATAGCCCAGACTGGGCTGAAACTTGCATCGATCCTCCTGCCTCAGCCTCCCAAGGGCTGGGATGCCAGGTGTGCGCCGCCACGCCCAGCCAAAGGTTTGTTTTATGGTGGTAATGAACAGTAACGTGATACTGTGATGTCCCTGGAGGGACGCGTGACACAGCAATAGTACAAAGCCATGAGCCACAAAAACGTGCTGCCTTTTCCCCTAGGCACAAAAGCAACTCAGGGGACGAGCACCAACTGGGTACGCAGGTAAGCAGCGACCCCGGGTCGCACATGGGACTAACACCTCAGAGCAGCTGGGTCCCTCGGGGAGAAAGTCCTTTTTGCCGTTTTTATGAGAACCCTTTAGTATATCCGCGAAGTGGACCACACACTCAAACATAAAGCAAAGATTTGTCAACTCTTAGCAAAATGGTATCTCAGGACCTAGGCCAGGGGAGAGTGAAGCACAAACCCTGGGAGAAACTGGTTCCTGGACTTCGTGAGGCCAACGCTGTGCTCTGCAGAAGCACTCAAGGGATGGAAAGACAGGCGGCGGCCTGGCAGGGGTGCGGAGCATCATCAGCCACGCCCAGGGCTGGCACACGGCCCTCAGAGCACGCCAGTGACCCGCCAGGACACAGGACGACGATGCGAGGCATTCCCCAGAGCAGACGGCAGTGTCCAGCACCAATTTACCGGACACGAGAACGTGCCCAGCACCGCCACTGGGAAACGCAGCTTTAAACAGTACCGCTTCAGTTCCAAGTCGGCGTCACCACCAAATGCCAGCGAGGAGCAGCCCTGGTCTCTCCCCTGACCACAGGGACCAAGGTGCGGCCAGAGAGCGACTTTGGTCCCCACGGCACCTCACACACAAGGCCCACAGCAGCCCTCCCATGGGGACATGGGTGGGGCAGTGTCACCCACCCCACAAGACAGGGCTGCGCCAGGACACGTGTCTGCACGCAGCCCCAAAGGTAACTCTCTCGGGCACAGGACAAGAGCAGTATGAAGAGGGATGCAGGTGGCCTCCAGCCTGACTCCGCCCCAGCCAGTACCAGGGAGTGACCTTGGGGCAGGGTGAACCACCGCAGTGACCCGAATCACCTCAAAATAAAAGCTCAAGCAGGGAACAGGGTCCAACTTTATTTCCTCAGACTGCCCACTGTGCGCCGTGAGACCCGGCGCTGGCCACTGCCCCCGCCCCCGCCCCCGCCAGGCTGGGACCCAGCTTACGCCACCAACCACCTGAGGGTGGGGAGCTGTGTTCTGTGGGCCCGAGTCAGGCGGAGGCCCGGGCTTGCTCTGTACAGAGCTCGGGCCAAGTGGGCCTCTTCTTCGCAGGTGTCCACTCAGCCTCTCACCACCTGCCATCAGAGGCCACCAGGGACAACCCCGGGGCTCACTTTCCCGGGAGACGCCCCATCCCCCGAGGCTCAGAGCCCCAGGATGCCACGCTGCAGGCACAGGGCTCAGGAGGGCAGATGCACAGGTGTGACAGGAAAGGTCCCAGAAAGCAGCCAGCTGCCAGCAGAGGCTGGAAACTCGTTCTCCCTTCCAAAGTAGAGCAGGGCTGCCCACGTGCGCGTGTGTAACAAGGCCCGGGAAGCCACCTGCCGCTGGACACCAACGTGGAAGATTTATTACCCAGGAGACTTGTCCCTCGTGGGGAGCAGCCGGGCACCTCCAGCTTGGCCAGGGGGCCGTGAAGTCTGTCTTCAAGGGTGACCGCTCCTGCCACACCGCTGGCCTCAGAGTCAGCCCTGAGCACGCAGTTCCGAGGGATGCGGTGTCACTTGGCTAGCTCCTCGGCCACGGCTTTGCGCATCTTGTCCTTGAGGTAGGCGCCTTTCTGCCATTCAGACTTGAGCTCCAGCCACTCGTAATACGGGACCTGCAGCGAGGTGGTGGGGATGCGCCACACGGCCTTGCCTGGCTGGCTGTGCTTACGCTGACTGCGGAACTGACAGGGCCGGTCCCTGGCCTGCATGCCCCTGGGCCCTCATGGTGGGGCTGTGGGGTAGGGCCGCTCCCGTGGTGCTGAGGGCTGGGCAGGACTGCTAGATTTGAAAGGACTGGTGAAAACCAACCATAAGCCCAAAGAAAAAAATAGGACAGGACACAGACCATGTATAGGCCTTAAAGCAGACACTCCCTGCATCCCAGCTGCAGAGAAGGTCTGCGGGCCCCATTCCCTGAGGACAGGGCCCCCGAGAGCAGACCATTAGCTTCCGAGGCTGCATGCGCTGCCTAGTGGGCCAGGAGCCCGCCTGCCCACACCCGAGGGTGGATGGGCCGAGGCTTTGGGACGTAAGCGTGAGAGGTGTTGGGAGTGGGGCGTTGGGGGGGCAGCACCTGCCTCTCCAGGGGGCTGGCACAGGGACCCTCCCGGCCCAGCAGTACTCACGTCCACCAGCAGGAAGCCTGCAGCCTGCAAGTGCCGCCGGGCCAGCACGAAGCGCCCCAGGAGGTCCTTGCTTTTGCTGTTGAAGTTGGGGAACTCCCAGAGCAGGATGGCGACCCTGGGGGAGGAAGGAGACAGTCTGCTCTGCCGGCCCTGTGAGCAGGGACCCTGGAGCTGGGCTGCGGGCCTGGCCACCCACCTCTTGGCCCCCGGGGGCGGCGGGCGGCTCTCAGCTGGCTGGGTGAGGTGAGGGGCGGCAAAGTCCCGCAGCGGCAGGAACTGGCCGTCCGCGTCCAGCAGCACCTCCGCGTCTGGGAAGGGCAGGACAGGGCACAGTGAGCAGGGTTGGGCCATCCCCAGAACGGCAGGGCGGGGGGAGACGGCCGGGGTGGGGCAAGGCGGCGCCACCTATCCTGGGGGGGGCCTCACCCAGCACCCAGCCGTACTGCGTGGCTACACCGAAGCTGCCCAGGCTGGAGCTCCCCAGCAGTGCTCGCAGCACTTGCTGCAGCTCCTGTTGCAGGAGGGTCATCTTCCAGTCGGGGGCAGAGGGTTTGGGGCTCACGGCTGCGGCTGGCAGGAAAGGGCCCTGGTACTCTGGGCGCTCCAGCCGGGCAGTGGCGTTGATGTGCAGCAGCTTCTGGAAGGTGCTCTGGTCCTTCTGGGACACAGCCCCTGCGGAGGATGAGAGTGAGGGTGCAGCGGTCCCGGGTGTGCAGTGGCCTGCTGTCCCTGCCACCTCGGGTGCCCGCTCTGGGCAGGAGGCTGTGTGCTTGGGTGGGTAAGGAGCTCACCGAGAAACTGCGTGTGGAACCCGGGGTCCAGGACGGCCCGCAGCTCGGCCTCCCGCACCTGCTGCAGCACGCACAGCGCCCACACCACGTCCACCTGCAGGGCTGGCTGCAGGCTCGCCAGCGCCGGGCCCAGCCGCTCACGCACCTGGCAAGGACGCGAGTGAGAGCACTGGCTCTGCCCAGGGCAGCAACAGCAGAGGGCAGACCACGGCTTGTGACACTGCGGCCCAGCAGGGAGGTACCAGGCACCTTTCTTAGGCCCCAAGAGCGGCCATTAAGCTGGGCTCCCCTACACCGGCCTGCGGGTGGCAGCCGTTCCCAGCAGCGCCCCCACGGGCACTGGGACAGGAAGGAAGCGTTTCCAGCCCTCAAGGCACAGTGACAAGGCCCTGGCGGGGTGGCTTCAGCGCAGGACCGGCCAAGTCCCCAGGGCCCAGGTCTTCACAAGCCCCAAGGCCTTCGGACAGTACACAAACAGCAAAGCCCTGCCTGGTGCAGCGAGAAGCCCACCACAGGACGGGGTGCCCCTCACCAGCCCACGCCAGGCACTACGGTCCCTGTCCTCTCAGGCCAGGCTGCTCCAGGGTGGGGGCGGGTGGAGCCATACCAGGCTGAAGAACTGGTCGTCTTGCTCAGGATGGAAGTTCAGACGGGCGAATGCCAGGAGCAGGCTGCACAGGTGGGCCGCGGTGATGTGTGGGGCACTGCGTAGGGTGTGCTGGGCCGGTCGGGGCGGCAGAGGGACAGGGTGAGCTCCTCCCTGCGGCCTCCCTTCTGCCACCCAGCAGCAAACTGGTCACAGATAGGACCCCGGAAACTGTGCCCTGCTGGGGACTCCAGAGGGGACCCCGCCCCCCAGGCTGGGCAGCTGCAGGGCAGGCTGTGATGCCACCTGGGTGACCAGCAGCTGGGGAGAGTGCGGGGATGCCCAGCCCCACCCTCTGCCTCTCCTGCCCCGTCTCCCGGACTGATGAAAGCACAGGCTCGCTCCCCGGCAGAAGAAACGTTTCACCCCTGGCAAAACAGGCCCCGGAGAAGAGTGCTGCACCCGCCCCACGGGCGAGTTCCGGGCTGGCCCTGCTTCCCTGACAGAGGCTCCCCACGGAGGCCACAGAGCCAGCCTCGGGGCGGCAGAGCGGGGGGCCCAGTGCCTGGGGATGCGGCGGCTCACCTGGACAAAGGCTTCAAACAGGGGCACGTTGAGCCACTTGAGGAAGGCGAAGGACGTGGCACAGCGGGCCATCTCGCCGGGCGTCAGGCTGGGCATGAGGGGCAGCAGGTCGGCGGCCAGGCGCTGGCACACCTGGGTCTGGTGGAAGCTGAGTTTGCCTTTGGGACAGAGCAGAGCACAGCGCTCGGCTGGGGAGCGGAGCAGCCACCCGCTGCCCACCTCCACCCTGAGGTGCAGCGCAGTGTCTGTGACCAAATTTATCCCTGCGCCCAGGCAAGGGGAGCAGGGCCCATGAGTCACAGCGTTCCTGTGGCAGCCTCCTGGGCCGGTGCCTCACATGCGAGGTGGGCACCGAATTTGACACGGCTGCGGGTCCGCGGTGCGGGCTCCCTGCCACTCACCGTAGGCGTAGGCCAGGTCCAGGAGCATGCCCTTTGTCAGCGGGAAGGGCTTTTGCACCAGGTGGTACGAGACGGCCCGCAGCAAGGGCACCGACCGCCGGCTCTGAGCCGCCAGCGTCACAAGCACCTTCCGCAGCTCTTCGGGGCCAAAATGCTCCACCAGCTCCAGACACTGTCAACCACAGCCGCGCAGGCGTGAGCTCGATGGCCTGAGGCGGCAGGGACGAACTGGGGGCAGGGGTCCCATCCAGTGCAGCCCCTGCGAGACAGCAACTGGGCCTGAGCTGACTCCACACGGCCCGTCTGCGTGGGGCCTGCCTCCCTGCCTGCCGGCAACCCCGGGACCTGAGCGCTATGTCCGCAGCCAAACTTATCCCCGGGTCCCAGGCAGGGGACCCAGAGCCCATGAGCAGCAGAGCTTGCTGTGGCAGCCATCTGGGCTGGCCCCCACCACGGCGAGATGAGGGCCGAATTTGACTCGACTGCAGCTACGGCAGGGCTGGGAAGGTGGAGGAGACAGGGAGTGGAGGCGGGGGTGGGGGACGCAGAGTCTGGGGCGTCAGACGGGGACTAGTCCGGCTAGGACTTGCGCTAACACCAGGAGCTGCCCGCCTCAGATGGTTTAGGAACAGAGTTAGGAGAAAGAGCCAGAAGCGACCAAGGGAAGCGTCGTGCTGGGACACAGCTGGAGCTGCTGCTGCACTAATGCGGCTCCTTGGAGCCCTCTCACTGCGCCCTGTGGGACACCTGCACTTGTGGACCCCAGGTTCCAGGGCGCCTGTGGCCAGGCACGCAACGCCCCCCTTCCGCAGAGGACCATCGCCCGAGGACATGCCCAGAGCCTCGGGAGGCAGGCAAGCGCTCCTGCTCTGCGCCTGTACCTTGTCTTCTAGGCGCGTCATCAGCAACTCTGAGAGGTGGCCAACCTTCACCATGATGGTCACCACCGTGCGGCTGTCCTCGATCTCTGTCCAGCGCCTCTCCAGGTGCACCAGGAGCTCGGCCAGCAGCTCGGAGGACTGCCCTTGTATGGACGTGGCACAGGACTCCGCCAGGAAGGCCAAGTGCTTGTAGTTGAGCCTGCGCAGGCGCCAGCGCACCTCGTGCTCCACCGACTGCAGCTCCCGCGAGGTCCTGGGCAGTGCCAGCATGTACAGGCTCCGCAGCAGCCTCACGAGGGTCTTGTGCCACACAGAGGATACCTGGGTGGGAGGAGAGGCTCAGTCACACGCGTCTGGCAGCTGCCAGAGAACTGCCAGAGAACAGCTAGCACCCATTCTTCTAGGAATGTGCGGGCCACTGTGGCCAGGGTAGTTTGCTCTCGCCTGCAAACAGGGTCCCGAGCGCTAGCTCATCTCCCAGGCTCCCCAGCGCAGCTCTGACCTGCCGGGGCTGCGCTGAGACCACGGCCCCAGTGTGGCCCAGCACAGCTGTGTGGGGCAGACCTGAGCTGCAGGCCGATCATGTCCAGCCCAGGCCAGAGCAGCAAGCGGCCGGCTTCCTCAGGTCAGTTTCTGCCACCAACTCACTACTTTTACATGCCAAGACAAGTATTTACCTATAGCGTTAAAACCCGATTTTTCCTCAGGGAATTAATTCTGAGATTGAGAAGTTCAAAACAACCCTAAGGTTTTGGTGACCCGAAGTTTCTCAGGAATGCGATTACTCTGCCAAGAGCAGTGGAAACGACAGGCTGCGGAGCAGATGGGCTCAGGTGACCCCAGCCTCAGCCTCCAGGCCAGGGCAACCTGCACCTGCACTGCGGCCAGGGGCAAGTCCCCCGACACATGGCTGCTCCCGGGACTTATTTTTTTCAGCCTCAGCCGCCCCTTTTCCCCCTCAGGACTTCTGACGGCGGGCAAAAATCACCCCTGCAACTACCATGCCCCGAATCCCCCACAGGCGGCACTCCGAGCAGGCTCTCCTCCAACAGTAGGCATCTTTCTTTTTTGGTGCTGGGGACTTAACTCAGGGTCTGTGTGCTGAGCAGCACCCCAGCTGTTTTAGCTTTTCGGTTTTTTTGAGATAGGCTCTCGCTTTGTAGCTCAGAGTGGCCTCAAACTCGAGGCAATCCTCCTGTCTCAGCCTCCTAAGTGTTAGCATTACACTTTCAGACCTGGAGACAGGGTCCTGCTAACTTGCCCTGGCTGGGCTTGAAACTGGGTTTGTCCTGTGTGAGCTCTGGATGCTGAGGTCACAGGTGAGCACTGCTATTCAGCTCAGGCACTCATACTGCACAGACCACAAGGCACCCACATTCCTCAAAGCACCCGCTGTCAGCTCCACCGAACACGTAAGCAGCAGTGGGGTCCATTCCCCCATGTCTCAAAGAAGCTCCGGGGGCCCAGCCCGCGCCCTGTCTGCACTGCAGGGAGCATCTCCAGGTCTCAAGGAGCTGCAGACCCGTGAGGTCAGTGTGGCCCAGACCCCACGCTCAGGAAGACAGCAGGTGGTGCAAAAGGAGTGCAAATCCCTCCGCACTGACCGCAGCCTGTCTTTCTGCCGTGCTGGGGATCAAATAGGGCTCAGCAAGAAACAGACACGTATTTGAGCCCATGCACAGTGTGTGGTTGTGTGAATGCATTTACCCAAACAGAAGTTCCAGGAGACAGTGTTCCTCTTACTATGTGTCTCTCGTATTACTCTACCTCATTAAAAGGGCCACAGGCTGGGCAAGGTGACACAGCCTGTAATCCCAGCACTCTGGGAGGCTGAGACAGGAGGATTACAAGTCTTAGGGACTTAGCTGAGATCCTATCTCAAAAACTAAAGGCTGGGGATGGATGCAGATCAGTGTGAAGGTGCTGGGTTTAATCCCCAGTACTGATGATAAAACCTGCAGTTTGAAAAAATGCTTAGCACAACCCCCTCCTCCTCTTGCCTGACACCTTCCTCGAAAGGCAGGCCAGGGGCCGAGGGTCGGCTCGGCCAGGCCAGGGCTCGAGGAAAGCCTTGGTATGAAACTGGCTCCAGCTGTCCGGTGCTGCTGCAGCTCAGCCACACGAACGGGTCTGGTTTCTTCTCCACGCTCCCGCTTTTTTTTTTTCACTTTTAAGCTGTGAATGGGGCCAGATTCTGCCCACTTGGCTCAAGCACCAGGGACCCCGTCAGTCCTGCTGCATCTTTTCCAGCCTCAAGGGTCATGCCCAGTCAGCAGCCGGATGCTGGGCGGGGCAGGAAGCTAAGTCAAGGCCATGGGTCTCTGAGGAAAACACCGAGGAAAAAGAAGGACCAGCCTCGTCTCACCTCCTGCACATCACTGTGTGTTCCGCTAAGATGAACACAGAGGCAGTGACCCAGTGGGGCTCGGAGGACTTTTGGATGCACCGAGAGGGATGGGCCACAAGACTCCGAGGCGCCTCTGCAGACGGTGGTTCGGTTGCTCTCCCCTCGGCAAGCCCCAGAAAACACAGGGCACCCACCTGACTGCTGACCAGCTGGAGAAGCTGCTGAAATCGCCTGTCCTCTAGGAGCAAGGCCTTGTCCTGTGGCTTCTGGGACAGCAGGCGAGAGAGCTGAATGAGGATGAGTGCCGCGTGATTGTGGCTCAGGCTGTGACTGCCACCCAGGAGCTCGAGCAGCTCCTCCGGCCGGGAAGCCTGCTCGATGAGCCGGTCCACCTCTTGCTTCTCTGGGAAGGGGGTGAACACCTGCTCTTTTTGCACCAGCTCCTTCAAGAAACTTGGGGAGCAGGAACTGGGGGAGGTGGCTGAGGAGGTCAGAGTCTTATGGGCCACTCTGGCAAGTCGCAGCTGGCCAACTGGAGCCAGAGCAGGCGCTAGGCGAGTGGCTTCTCTCAGCAGGCATGAGCACCGCTTCACCAGGTGTGCGGCCATGATGGCCCGGGGGGCTGGGAGGCGAGGCTTCTAGCAGGTGATGCCAAAGCACTGGAAAGAGAGAGGAGGAACTGGAGGGGCAGCTCCAGACCCACAAACTTAGGAGAGCATGAGAAGTGACGCGAAGTCACAGTTACCCTCTGCCTAAAGCCAGCCTTAATCTTCTGTTTTTTTGGCTGTTCATACAGATGAAACAGTACTTCCCGAGACAAAAATCACAGGGGATTTGTTTCGGTATAAACTGCTATCAAACATCAAAACTCATTACGGCTTGGAAGGTTTCCAGCCCTAGTCCGCTTCAAAATCACCTAAGAATGATCCAACTCAGATTCTGTGACTACTCTGCTGTTAAGAAGGATAAATTCGAGTCATTTGTAGTAAAATGCATGTACCTTGACTCAGGGGCGTTAGGTGAAATGAATCAGACACACAAGTTTTAAGTATCGAATGTTTTCTCTTATATAAGAAACCTAAAGTGTAAATAGACCAAAGAGTAAATTAAAAGGCAATAGAAAGTAGACACATCTTTTGCAAATGTGAAATAGACCAAAAAGTGTTGGGAGGGATGTAAAAGAATTCAGGAGTGTCATGTACATATAGCAATTATCCACAATGAATATATTCATTATGTACTGGAAATATGTACTTAAAAAAAAATCCGACTCTGCCCACCCTCCCAAATGGGAATCTCTGTAGGTAAGGCCTGGATAGCACTGGTATTATCATCATTTCAATGGTGGGCAGGATTAAGAATTACTGATCCACAGAATCAATAAGACAAGAAACTCTAAACTGTAATGATTCTGCAAAACCCAGGACCCACATTCCTCAAGGTTCTGTGGCTGTATTTTAACACTACACACACGACAGTGCCTTCCCAAGCGAAGTTACGTCAGTAGCCTACTTGGAAAAACCAAACCGTGCCTCAAGTTGAGAGCAAAACCTCCTAAGTCAATCATGAGAGCACCTGATAACACGGCCCTGAACTACATTCCCAGTTTTCTCTCTCCTTCCCCACAACGCATGCCTCGAGCTAATCAGGCTCCACTCCACCTTGCAGGGCTTGCTGCCCCTTGCCCCATCACAGGGCCAGCAGAACACACTTCATCTGCAGAACTCCTTGAAAGGCTGCCCCCTTCAAAAATGTGTCACGCATCCCTACGATGCTGCTTTTAACAATTTCGTCTGGCCATCCCGCTCCCTAACGTGTCTAACGTAGGTGAAATGCATGATCAGGGCCTGGCCTCTGCCGAAGCAGAAAGCACCTCTGCTTTTCATCCATTTCCGGAAGGTGGTAAACGGCCGGCACTTTTTTTTAAAAACATGCGCGGATCACTGCAGCTATAAAAAGCTTAGTCCACCTAAAGACTCGGGGAGGAAGAACATTTGACCTAGCCCCACGCTTCCTGGACCTTCGAACAGTAGAGGAGCGCTGCAAAACCTTTCCAGTTTTTAATACAACTCTGAGAGCAACTTACAAGAGGACATTTATGAATAAAAGCTGGACTTGGGTTTAGGCAAAGATCAGCCCACAAACGGGGTCCTAAAATGCAGAGAGAAAATCGACTGCGAGGAGGCATCCAGGGTCACGGCGGGCAGCGCCTCGCAGGCCCGGTCTCGTAGCCGGCGGCAAAGGGCGCGTGCGCAGTAACGGGCCGGCGCCGCGTCCAGCGCCCTGCTAGACCCATACTCCGGGCCCCGCGGGCCCAGATCCTCACCTGCCTTCAGGGCCCGCCGCCCCACCCGCCCTCACTCCGCCTCCTTCCACCCCTACCTCCGAGCCCTCAGTGCCCACGCTCGGCAGACCCTCCTCTACTGCGAGACCCACGCGGCGAGCGACGCCGATGACCTCCATGCGTCTCCCGGGCCGTCCCCAACTCACGCGGCTAGGCGCGGCGCGCTTGTACGCGTGCGGAGCGACGCCGGAAGCGAGGCGCGCGCTCGCCCTACGTCATCGGAGCGCCACCGGAAGCGAGGCTTGCCGCGCGCCTCCTGGCCGGAAGGGAAGGTTGCAACTCCTTCCTGTAGTAACCCCAAAGGGCTTACTACCTTTGCTGAGCGCGCGTGCGACACACTGGGAAGTGTACCGAGAAACGAGTGATGGGAAATTTAGAGATCGGAAGGAGAGAGCCGGGCGTGGTGGCGCACGCCTGTAATCCCAGCACTCGGGAGGCAGGGGATCGTTGGGATTTCGAGACCAGCCTGGGCTACAAAGTGAGCTCAAGGCCAGGCTGAACTGCAGAGCAAGACCCTGTCTCAAAAAGATAAAAAAGAAAAAAAAAAACAGTAAAATAAAGAACCCAGGAAGTTAACCCGGAAGGCTTGGGTTTCCTCCGGCCGGGATCTCGTTCCTGCACGGAGCACGGGATCGGCCCTTTATTGCAGGGCCGTCTTCAAACGGAGCTCTACTCCTAGCTATCGCGCCCGCTTGTTATTTTTAAACAAGAGACACGAGAATCGCCTTATTGTCCGCGATCTTCCTGCCGTAGCCTTCCGAGCAGGTGGACAATAGGCGCGCATCACCCTACCTGGTTTACCTTGTATTTTGCTGCTGGACTGAGACTCGTACACTTTGTACAAAAATTAAATGGATCTGTAATCTTAAATGTTAGAGCTAAAAATTGTGAAACTCATAAAAAGAAATTTAGATGTAAGTTTTTTTGGGGAGGGAATGTAGCTAGATTGTGGCGTGCGTGAGTCAGTGCATTTGATCCCGGGAGCTGCAAAACAACGGCCCCCCGGCCCAATTTTCATGATTTTTGCCATTGGAGGCGCGACGTGAGAGGCCCGTGCCGCTGGTGGTAAGAAGAATGTAAGTCAAGGAGTATAGAAAAGTTGAGTTTATTGATAACACTGCAAGGAGATGTTGCAGAAAACAGACCAAACACGGGAGGAAACGGCACCGAGGAGGTGAAGGAGACAGTTTACGACGCCTGTGCGTATCTGACTAGGATCTATCTTAAAGAGCCAGAGCCCCGCCCGGTTCGGGGCTTTTAAAGGGAAAGCGAGGGGGCGGTACAGAGGCAGATTTAGTGCGTTATGATTGGAAGGTTGGGTGACATCTTGGGTTGCTAAGGGAGTTTAAACATTTCAGGTTATGCAAGGTAAGAAATGTCCTGTTCATTGTAAGGCCATCAGTTATACAAGGCAGGAAAGAAGGGGTTACACAAAGGAAGAAATGTTCTGTCATCGGCCTGCCGCACATGTCCGCCTGGTTGCGAGGGCATTCTTGGCAGGCCTTTATTTAAAATTTTAATTTTTCCCCTTCAGAAACAGTGGGTGGCCGGGCATGGTGTTGCACGCCTGTAATCCCAGCACATGGGAAGCTGAGGCAGCAGGATCGTTGCGAGTTTGAGGCCAGCCTGGGCTACAAAGTGAGTGCAAGACCAGCCTGAACTGCATAGGGAAACTCTGTCTCAAAACGACAAACAAAACGCAAAACAAGGAGGCTGGGGATTTAGCTCAGCGGCAAAAAGCGCCTGCCTGGCAAGCGCAAGGTCGTGAGTTTGGTTCCCGGTACCGGAGAAAAAAACCAAAACAAAAAAAAACACGAAACAAAATAGTGGGCAAATTCCAAGAGGGAAATGTGCTGACTGGGGGAAAAGCAGGGAGCTTTATATTTGATTTTAATGTAAGGAAGGGAGTACAGGAACATTATCTTAGGAAAACTTTTGCTGGGTCCTGATGGTCTTATTGTCCACCCAGCTCAACTCTGGGACAGGCAAATGTTCGAAGACAGTAATATCTTCTTTTGATAGAGTTTAGTGTTCCTGGCATTTATGAAAGAGAAGAAAAAAGAGCACAGTCCTTTCCTCAGCAGGGTTAACACATCTTTGTAGATCAACTAGGGCTGTTGGTCAAGGATGTCAGAAAAAATCCACATATTTGTACTAAAAGGGGCCTTTGACATTATATAAGGACAGAAGGAAAGGATATTCTCTAAGGAAAGGATATTCTCTAAAAAAAGATTAGAGGCAAAGGGAAGCCAGGTGTGGCAGTGCACACTTGTTTTCCCAGCATTCAGGAGGCTGAGGCAGGAGGAGGATTGCTGTGAGTTTGAGGACAGCCTGGACTACATTGGGAGACTTATGGTACTTAAGACCTATGGTACATGTGCCAGAGCTTCTATTGGTATCATTGAAAGCTCTAAAAGATTTGTGGTCACTGCTGTAAGGCTTCCAAGTGATTCAGTCACCTGGGGATGTAGGTGTGGACTGCAGCCTCCAAGGTGAAAAGTTAATGTTTTACTGCAGACTCATTGCTCAGCTGCAATTTGGCTAACTCTAACCCCAGTTTTAACTCTGGGCCTTGGTGCTGGGCTAGTGAGTCCCATGGGCTTTTTTTTTTTTTTTGTCTTTCTGGGACAAGATCTCACTATGCAGTTCAGGCTGGACTTGAGTTCACTTTGTGGCCCAGGCTAGTCTCAAACTCGCAACAATCCCCCTGCCTCAGCCTCCCGAGTGCTGGGATTACAGGCTGTGCCACCACGCCCAGCTTTGGAGTTCCATGGCTTTGACTGTCCAAGGCAGGGTGGAAATTGAAGAGCCCACCGACCAGGTGTGGTGTTTCCCTGGGGAACCTGGCCGACATCGGCCTCTGCTGCTGGGGAGGGGCAGGGTGTGGGCAGGTGGAGCCTTCGCTCTTGGGCTTCCTCCAAGCTTCCTGGACACTCTGGTCTCACTGCCCATGCCCAGAGGCAGTGCCCAGAGCCACAGGGACCAGGCAGGAGCCAGACGCCCGCCAGCTGTCTTCCCAGAGCCTGCGATGGCTCGCGTCCTTTTGTGGGCAGCGAGGTAGCCTGGGCAGCAGACCCACATCTCCCTCGTGGGTGGCGGCCAGGAGTGGTTGCAGAGCTCAGTCCCTAGCCTAGTGGGTCCAGGCTGAGCCACTGAGCCCCTCCTCCTGTTCATCTGTACCGTGCGCTGGCCTGGCTCACTCAGCAAACATGCACATTCGCACCCACGCACATGCGCAGATCAAACCCACCGGCCGCTCCCGGCACCACCTTAGTTCTGGTGCCGGAATGGGACTGGAGACTCATCCGGTGGCTCCTCTGAGCTGGTAGGGGGCAGAGCTCTCTGCCTGGGAATCTCTGTCCCTCCTGCCTCTGGGGGAAACTGAGGTGCAGCCCACTCAGAGCTACAGCCTCTGAGAACAAGAAGAGTTAAAGACTAGAGGCAAACGGGGCTGGGGATTTAGCTCAGCGGCACAGCGCCTGCCTAGCAAACGCAAGGTCATGAGTTCAATTCCTGGTACCGGAAAAAAACTAAAAAAAAAAAAAAAAAGGATTAGAGGCAAAGGGAAGCCAGGCGTGGCGGTGCACACTTGTTTTCCCAGCATTCAGGAGGCTGAGGCAGGAGGAGGATTGCTGTGAGTTTGAGGACAGCCTGGACTACATTGGGAGACTTGTTTCAAAACAAAACAAAACAACTCAAAAGTGCTTCTGGTCTGGGAGACCTTAGCAGTTTACTTCTTCTCTGGATAAAGGCAGTTAGCAGACTCAGCTGGCTGCCTCCATTAGCAGGTGGGTAACCGAGTGCCACACGTTCTAGGAGCTCTGTGGCAGGAACCACAGCAAAGGTCCTCGTCATGACATCACAGCCTGGCGTGTGCCGCCTGCCGTCCCCGGGAGCTCCCCTCTGTGTCAGCTCAGTCCCTGCCGTTGAAGGCCGCTGTGGCCTTGGCGTCCATGTCTGGCACAGCTCCTGTCACCTGGGTGCACAAGAAACACAGCCCAGCCCAATCCAGTTGCAGCCGCAGCTGAGCAGGGAGCTAAGCGAGGGTCCCAGAACCTGGCTCTGTGAGCGGTGTTATTTCGGGAAAAGTGAGTCAACAGTAGCCGGGAGCTCAGGAGAAGAAATTTTATTAACGTTGGCGGTCCCCAGAGGAGTAAGCTCCAAAGTCCAAGGCGCTGATTACACAGTTTGTCTTTTTTATAGAGTGGCCGGCAGAAGTTACAAAAAACTAGGAAAGTTTAGCTGAAGGACATGGTACAGTGGGTATCTTGTGGTGAGCGTAGCTGTACGTAGCAAAGTTGCTTTTAGCACATTCACGGAAGTTTCAGTTTGATGACAAATCATATGATTTAGCTGAGTTCAGTGGCAGAGAACTGCAGCAGGTTTATTGAACAAGACGCTGCAGTTGGGTCAGGACTGCTGTTTTAGTGTGATGTTTTGCGGATGAGCTGACAGCTGGCAGCCCCTCCGTGGCTGGGGCGGGGATCGCAGAAAGATGGGGCAGAAGGTTGGAACTTCCGGCCCAATCCAGACGTCGGGCGGGGGCGGGGCATCCTGACGTCAGGGAGGGGCGGGGCGGGGCATCCTGACATGACAAGGGGGGGAGGGGAGGGGAAGGGGAGGGAGAGGGGGCGGCAGACGATTCCGGCACTAAAGGTCTGTGAGCTGATCGCCAAGCCTGCTAAGGGAACCTCTCAATGCTCCGGATGTTGGAGCGTGGGGCAGCTTCTGGGTTGGTGACGTCAGTGTGAAGAGAGGAGGGTGCAGCTCCACCCCATGGGGACAGACTGACCTGTGACCCCTGCCCGGGCCTCACCCTGTGTGTCCCTCTCTGCCGGCCTCTGATCTGACTCCCTGGTGATGAAGGGCCTGGTCACAGTGCAGCGCTTGCTGTGAACCCGGGGCCGTCATGGGACACTCCTGTCCCAAGCACAAGCGGCCCCAGCCTGCAGGGCTGAGACCCTGGGTCAGGGGGTCTGACGCAAGCCTGGCTGCCAGCGCTGGGAGCTGGTGTGGGCTGCGGGGTGCCCAGGTCCATGCCGTAGCGGGGACACGCGCTCTGCGGGGGACTGCACAACGGGGACAGCAGGCGGTGTCCATCCACACGCCCTCCTGTCTCCTTGAGCATGTCCAGGAGTCACGCTCGTGCCCGCTGCATGCTGCTCCGCTCCTGCTCCAGTCGCCTCCGGGGCTTGGGCACCCAGAGCAGGGAGGGGTGGCCTCTCCTGGTGCCCTAGTCTGGCCAGAGTGCGCCCAGCTCTGTGTGCCTGGCTTGGGGAGGCCTGTGTCCCTGCACCTGCCCCAGCCCCCGAGACCCCAGGGGCAAGGCGCAGTTTCGCTGTCCCGTCTTCAGGACCCCAGGACAGACGGACAGACCGAGACATAAAGCCAAATGGATTTTTATTAGCAACTCGTGGGAGGCATCACACGCTGTCTGGACCCAGGAGGGGAGGTTCTCGCTGAGCAGCCGTGTGCTGGTCACTCTGGGCAGGCGGGGGGCCCCGGGTGGGCCTCTCACTGCAGGGGGCTCTCTGCGGGGGACAGGTGGGGACAAGGAGAGAGGTGGTCACTGCTGCCCAGTGACCTGGCCAGCATGTGAGTAATGGGGATGCCAGGAGATGCCAGGTCACAGGGAGCATGGTCAGTGTCCCTGAACCTCTGCCCCCAGCGGGCCCCAACCCTGAGCTCATCACTGCCCCTCGGGTTGCAGAGCACCGAGTCCCACAGGCTGCCAGCTCCGTACTCCGGGCCGCTTCCGTGCCGCTAGTCCTCTCACAGGTACCCGCTCCTGTCCCCGGCCCCTGCTAGGGGCTGGAGTCCTTAGGGGTCCCTGGGGTTGGCAAAGGTCCCCTAGAGCCTTGCCCTGTCCCCCCACAGATCAGTAGGACGGGGCAGTGGGTGGGGCGTGGTCCCGTGGTACCTGCATCGGGGTTCACACACTGCAGGGCGCACCCGTCAAAACAACACCTCTTGTCTGCCTGACAGTCCCTGTGTTTGATGCATTCGTTCCGTGCCTCACACAGCTCAGGGGCCAGGGCAGTCTGCACCCAGGGGCAGCTGCGTGTTTTCTGGGTATCTGGTAGACAGAGACGGGGGCCCTGTGTCACCCGAAGCCTTGCTGGGTCACAGGCCCCACCCAAAGGCTCCATTTTACAACAGGGAAGTTTAGTACTGTGGAAATCCTGGCTGGAGGTGTCCCCCGGCCTCCCCACTGCGGGCCTCGGGGGCAGGACCTCATGGCAGCTTTGGTGGCCTGGAGCTCTCAGGGGACATGCTGGGTAGGAGGCCGAGAGGCTGCCCAGGGCCAGAGGCCTGGCACAGGGCTGGGGTGGGCGCTGAGGGAGGTCTGGGGCCCCTTCCCAGCCTTACCGTAGATGGGGGTTCTGCAGGAGCGGCCGCAGGCGCTGGGGCAGCACACAAGGTTACCGAAGCAGTCCTCACTGGTGATGCAGGTCTGCTCTTGGGCACAGGACATCTCCTCGGAGGCGCTGGACTTGGGGCACATGGCCTCAGCTGTAGGGAGGATGGGGGTCCCTGTGGTCACCACTGGGCTCCTCAGGCAAAGGTGTGGACAGACACCAGGGAGTCCAGCCCCTGACATTTCTCAGTGGGGAAAAGACTTCTGCCCAATCTGTGACAGCTGAAGGAGTCTAAGAAATCCAAGAAGTCAGCTGTGGAAATGAGGGAGCCGGTGGGTGTGGGATCACACACGTGTCACCCCAGCACTCGGGAGGCCGAGGCAGGAGGATCTCAAATTTGAGCTCAGTCTGGACAACTAGATGACTGAGCAAGACCCTGTCTCAGAATAAAAAATAAAAACGGCTGGTGATGTAGCTCAGCATAAAGGCCATGGTTCAATTCAGCACTGAAAAAAAAAAAAAAATTAGGAAGCCAGGTCACAGGCCCAGGGTAGGAGCAGGGAAGCTCGGAGCCGGAGTGGAAGTGACCTCGGCCACCCAGCTCCCAGCCCAGCAGGTCCCCCCTGGAGCTGCGGCCTCCCCACCATCCCTGGCCCCGCCTGGCCGTGCCCCTCTGTCCTCTCTGCCCTGAGCCTCAGCAGAGCAGCAGTGGCAGGTGCTGGGTGGTGTCGGGAGGGAGGTCACCGGGTCCCTCCGGGGTGAGGTGGCCGGGCTACCTGACGAGAAGGAGGCCAGGTCCAGGTCCAGCGCCAGGGCCGCCTCCAGGGCGAGCAGGCCGAGGGCAAGGCTGAGGAGAGAGCGCATGGTGGCGGTTGGTGGCAGGTAGGCAGCGGACGGTTGGTGGCCTGAGAGCCCAGGCGCATTTAAAGGAGCGGCAGGAGGAAGACTGGGGCGGTGGGGGCCCCAGCTAGGCCTGGGAACTTCCTCTTGGATGCATGGCCAGGCCAGGCCAGGCTGGAGGAAGGAGTGTCGAAACTGGGTCAGTTTTTCCTTTCTTCATTGCTCTGGATTGCCCCCAGGGGCTGGCACATGCTAGGCAAGCGCTCTCCCCTTGAGTGACACCCCAGCCCTTTTTATTTTATTTTTAGACAGGGTCACACTAAATTGCCCAGGCAGTCCTGGAGCTTGCAGCCCTCCTGCCTCAGCCTCCTGAGCAGCTGATAGTACAGCTGTGCACCACTGTTTCTGGTGGGGGTAATGATTCTAAATTAAAAAAAAAGTCTTGTAAAGTGACTCTGTCCCCTCTGCTTTAAAAGTTTATGAAGAAAACTGTGAAAGAAGATGCAGGGTTTGTGGCAGTCATAGCAGAGCTGTCCTTTCGAGGGGCTCTGTGGGATCCTCAGGGACAAGGGGACTCACATGCCCCAGATTTGTCCACAGTCACATAGGAAACAAAGCAGGAGGTGAGGGCGACCTTCGAGGGTGATTTGCTTCTTTTGGATGTTGTCGTTTTCTTTGTTTTCTACGAGGCTGGGCCCTGGCTCCTCGCCAGGCACATGGGGCCTGGGGACAGGCAGGGCCACCTCTTCCCAGAAGGCCCTGCGAGTGCCAGGGGCAGGGGCTGTGAGGCGCCAGGTGCCCTCTTCCAGGCACTGCCCTGAGCCTCTGCCTGAGGGCTGGACAGGAAGAAGGCGTGGACCCCGCACCCAGCCCCAGGACAGGACCTTCCGGCAGGGACCCTGAGGGCTCTCAGCTTGGGACACAGAGCCCCGCAGAGCGTCTGTCACCAGACCTGCCAGGGCTGGATTGCGCCTCCTCGTGTGGCCTGGGCGAGCGTGGCTCCTGCAGGGCCCCCGAGTCCCCTCCAAGGGATGAGGTGTGGCACCACCTGCGGGCTCTGTCTGTGGCTTGAAGTTCCCATGTGCTGCCTCACCTTCTCCGGGCAGAGGCTGTCACAGGCGGGAGGGGACATACATGGGCTCCGAGGCCCCTGACTGGCCCTCTGCTGCCCATTCTCTCTCCCTTCCCGCCTATGCCGAAGGCCAAGTCCTTCCAGCTCCATGCTGAGCAGCCCAAGGGCAGCGCTGACCCTTGCTCAGGGACCCCCGTGAGCTTACACCACAAGCCTCCTGCCCCATCCCATGGTGCAGTCCAAGACCGCGTCCGCAGGACCAGCAAAGCTACAAATGGCAAAAAAGGACCAGTAAAGGTACTACAAATTTTTTTGTTTTGATTTTTGAGACAGGGTCTCACTGTGTGGTGCAGGCTGGCCTTGACTTCACTATGTAGCCCAGGCTGACCTTGACTTGATCCTCCTGCCTCAGCCTCCCGGGTGCTGGGATTACAGGTGTGTGCTCCTGTGCCTGGCTTGATTCTGATTCTTTGTTGAAATGTAGTTCCCATGCCATAAACCTCATCCCTGGAAAGTGTGCAGTTTGGTGGCTTTTGTCACCTCGGCAGGGTCAGACCTGTCCCCACATGTAATTCCAGAGTGCTCCTGCTGTCTGTGAAGAAACCTTGTACTCTGCAGCCCTCCGCCTATCCCCCGCCACCAGCTTGCTTTCCGCCCCCCGAGGATTCGCCTGTCCTGGTCACTTCTTCATGGGGTGCTGTGTGACCTGCTACAGCTGCGTGTCTCTCTGAGCTTTTTATTTTTTATTCACAGCAAGTCAGCATCTTGCTGTGAAGCCCAGGCTAGCCTTGAACTCCCGGTCCTCCTGCCTCAGCCTCCCATGTGCTGGGATTACAGGCATGTGCCACCATGCGGAGCTTCACCATGGTTTTTTTTTTTTTCACCATGGTTTTTGTTGTTGTGCAATCTTAAAAGTCTCGAACGTTATGTCCTTGGGTCCTCCACACCCTCTCACAGGAGGCTGGGGGACCAGGCAGTTTCCTGGGAGTGAAACCCTCTTGCAAGTGGTGGTCCGGCTGGCCCTGACTCAGGGCGGTATGTGTGGCTTGGCCTCTGCCCCCAGGCTGCCGGAGGAAGCGCACTGTGTCCTCTCAGTGTCCCGCACCCCGCTCCTTCTGCTCTTGCACATACGCCCCTGCCCGCTTCCCACCCCGTCCCCAGCCAGGGTGGCCTCAGCGTGGCTGGACCAGGAGCCCTGGGCGTCTTCCTGGAATGGAGCCGTCCCATACCCAGGGTGGGGACACCGTGCGCATGTCCCGCGGCTGTTCCTGGGCCTGGCTCCAGCCTGAGCTCTCCCTTCCAGATGCCCGGGGACAGGGAGCTCTCCCTTCCAGATGCCCGGTGCTATGTGCCCGGGGACAGGGACACCCAGGTGCGCGCAGGCACTGTGAGCAAGCTCCCTCCACCCCGCTCACCCGGTGCCGCTGGCTGGGCTGAGTTTCCCCCGGAACTCTCAGAGCAGGGACTTCAGCTGGCCCGTGTGCCTGCCCCTTTCCTTGGTGACACATCTGTCCTCATCCCTGGGGCTCAGGGATGTCCTCAGGCTTGTCCTCAGCCCTGTCCGTCTGCTCTGAGGCCCTCCTTGTGTTCCCTGTCACACCACTCTGCCTCTGCACACAAAACTGCATCTCTTGCTCCAGCCCTCACCCCTCTTTCCTGCCCCATTGCACCATAGGCCCTGGGTCATTGGTGAGCGGGCTGGATGCCCTGGACCCAGCAGGGAGAGGATAGCTGCAGGTCAGCTTGTTCCCTGCTGGTCCATCTGCCAGGGACACAGGTGGGTGAGGGAGTCATTGCTGAACATTCAAAAGAGCAATGCAGCAGAGCAATGGGGTATATGTCTTTAGCCCCAGCACTCTCAGAGGCTGAGGCAGGATGGTCTCACTAAATTGAACTTGCGATCCTCCTGCCTCAGTTTCCCAGAGTGCTGGGAGGACAGGTGTGTGCCACTGTGGCCAGCTTTGTGTTTCATTCTTTTTCTTTAATTAATTAACTTTATTGGTACATTTTAGGTGTCCATAATGATCACGTTCGTCAGAGGGAATTTGTGTCTGCACCTGGTACCTCTCGCTTCTTTAGCATTCCATTCTGTGGATGAGCCTGTGTGATACGCGCCTTCTCCTGGGTGTGCCTGGTAAACTGGAAGCCCTGAGGGTGTCTCTCCACCCCACCTGGGTCAGCCTGAGGCTGAGCTTAGCTTCCGTCTTCCCTGCAGGAGGGGACAGGGTAGGGACAGGGTGCAGCCACTACCTTGTGATGAAAGTATACAGTGACTGCTTGAATAAAAATATAGTGAGACACACATTGCCCTGAGCCTCCTCCAAACCCGCCCCCTTGCTCCCAACATGCTCGTCCCATCGCCCTTGCCTCTTTCTGCAGCAGCTCTGGAGTCCTCTTTCCCGAGGGTCTTTAGTTGTGCTGTCCTGGCTGCCTTGGTGGTTTTTTTTTTTTTTTTTGAGTCAGGGTCATGTTATGTAGTGCAGGCTGGTCCTAAACTCACCATGTAGCTGAGGCTGGCCTTGAACTCGCAGAGAGGTGATCCTCCTGCCTCAGCCTCCTGATGCTAGGATCCCGAGCATTTGCCACCAAGCCTGGTCCAGGTCATTTTGACCTCGGGAAAGAGATGGAAGTCACAAGGTGTCAGATCCAGTGAGTAAGGTTGCTGAGGACACAGTGCCATGTTTTTTTTTTTTTTTTTTTTTTGGAGACAGGGTTTCACTATGCAGTTCAGGCTGGCCTTGAGCTCACCTTGTAGCCCTGGCTGGTCTCGAACTCACTATGGTCCTCCTGCCTCAGCCTCCCCAGTGCTGGGATTACAGGTGTGTGCCACCACGCCGGGCAGTGCCAGTTTTTATTGGACAGAAATTGCTGTATACTTCGGATCAATGAGGTGCGAAAACTTAGTGAATGTTTAAATTAAAAACTTCATTACAGTAGAAGACAGATTGCCATAAATTCCCCTCCGAGTCCTCCCCTCACTTTGAGCCCTTGCCTCATTGTCCTTGGCAGTCCTTCTTGTACTTAATGAATTTTTAAAAAAGTTTAAGCTGGGCATGGTGGCGCGCGCCTGTCATCCAGCACTCAGGAGGCTGAGGCAGGAGGATCATTGCGCGTTTGCCGCCATCCTGAGTTACCTAGTGAGTTTAAAGCCAGCCTGAACCACATTGTGAGACCTTGTCTCAAAAAAACTAATCGTTCACTGTATCTTTTGATCACCCCACGATTCAGTTGGCCGTGCAGCCCTCCTCCAGGGACGGTCCTGTGACAGGTGACACTGACCCTGGCGCTCTTGTGAGACACGTCTCGACCTCAGCTCGGAAATCAGGGCAGAAGCAGGGAAGCATAAGCAAACCTCGGCGGAGCCGCAGCGCCCTCTGCCGGCTGCCGTGAGTCACTGCCGCGTCCTCCCCGCTCAGCCCCGAGCCGGGCCTGGCGGGAGGGCAAGTCAGCGGTGAGCGCATGCGCATGCGCACAAGGCTCTGCGTTCCAGCCCGTTTTTTGGAGAAAAAAAAGTGCATCCGATTTTGATGCAGCGGGTGAGGCTTAACTGGCCCAACCCGAAGTTCTTAGAAACAAAAAGACAGGACGAAGTGGAGGCCGCACACGCGTCCTGTTCTCTGCTAGCTGTGGCCGCCAACGCTGGCCAGGCCGGCGTCGAGGGCGCCCTTGGTTTCCCTGCTGGTACCGTAGTTTCCTCCTTCCCTGCCCTCTCCTCTCTCCTTCCTTCCTCTCCCCGTCCCCTCTGACTAAAGACTGAACCCAGGGCCTTCCTGCGTTTATGCCTACGTCCCCAGCTTTTTATTTTTATTTTGACACAGGGTCTCACCAAGTTGCTTAGTTGCTGGGTTGGGCTTGAACTTTCGATCCTCCCGCCTCAGCCTCCCAGAGTGCTGGGATGACCGGCTTGGGCCACCAGGCCAGGCTCCTGTTTGAGGTAAGGCCAGCAACCATCAGGGGACCCTGCACCTGATGTCACTCCTCCCGGCCCGAGTTTGCCCCGCAGGGAACGTGGCCCAGCCTGCGCTGGAGTTGGAATTGAGGCGGGCTGGGGACTCAAGGGGGTCAGTTCAGAGTGGCCAGGGACAAGCGGAAGTCACTCTGGACACACAGG